GGTCCCCGCGCCGCTGGGGTGCCCCGGCCTACCCCGCCGCGGGGCCGAGACCGAGTTCTCGGAGGGCCTCGGGGCCCGCTGAGGTGGAGAGATAACGCACCTGGAAACCATTTTGCTGCCAGACTTCTGGTGACACCCATGTAGTTTGATAGCTACAACCGGGTTTGCTTGCTTTCAGGTGCATCGTTGTGTGACTGGAGCCTGCCTGGCACCGAGCCCCAGGGGCTGTGGTGTCCGGCTGCCTTGGCTGGTCTGGCACAGCCCCTGTCCTGGGGCAGGTGCTCCCCGGTGCTGCTTTTATGCCTCTTATCTGGCTCTGTTAATACTTTGCCTTTTGGGGAGCGCAATAAGTGCTTTAACATGCTTAAGAGCATCAGCCTTGTAGTGTGGATGAAGAGCTTGTTGTTTATTCCACAGGTGTGTGTAGGATTGAGCTCAGGTGTTGTGAGCCCTCAGCTGGAGCTGCAGGAACTCTTCCCCTCACAACACCACTACCCTGTGAAACCTGATGTGGTTCCTACAGCTGTAACGTGTGTACCCATCTCTGGTCAGTCAGCAGGCAAAAGTAGCATGAAAATGAGATGCTCTGGGAGTGCTTGTTGTTGTGACTGAGCTGGTAACAACTCTTTGTACCTATACAAGGATGTAACAAGGCTTCTTGCTTCTTCCAGTAGGTTGTTGCTGAATTTAGTGGAGATAGAAGTCAGGAACAGAAGCGAAGCATGTTATCAGTTTGATGGCTCCGTTGGAAACTCCAACAACCTCCATGCTATCAGGAACAGAAGCGAAGCGTGTTATCAGTTTGGCTCCGTTGGAAACTCCAACAACCTCCATGCTTGTGTTGACTTGGGTGTCTTTTGGGGCAGAAGGACCGGTGTGGATTGCTTGTAGAAGAGAGTGGGAGAGAAAAAATTTAGTAGAGCTGGTGCAGCTTAATGGTGCCTGATGAGTGGTGATTAACGAGCAGTGTTGGATTTGTTCTGTGCTGGGGGTTGGTTGCCTCAGTTGCTTCTCAAATGGCCTCCTATTTACTTTAGTATGGCTTTTCTGCCACTCTTCTATCTACTGTCACTAGTTCCTTAGACTTACTCTCCAAAAAGGTAGACTAATTTGTTTTTTGCTGCAGTTTTCATACTAAGTTTTTATGTATGTTTCTTTTTTTCTGCCTTCTGGTTTTCTCATCTGCTCAAACAGAAAACTCTCCGAATCCAGGACAGTGCAGTGTTTGCCTGCTCCAAGTCTCAGCACTGTAGAGTTCCGATCCTGGTAAATAGCTTGGTGTTGATGTAGTACACATAATTAATAACAACAGCTCCACGGGGCTGAGAAAGGTCTCTGACAAATGTTAATTGCCCTGCGCTAAACTTGTTCTTGCCCCAAAGCAAGAGAACAGGCTGTAAATGTTCAGGAGGTCTTTGTCTAGCTTACTCTTAGCAACCGTATCTCTGCTGGTAATCCATTGCAGTACTCTTGTTTTTACTTTTACAAGGATTTTTGTGGTCTTTAATCAAAATCTTCCATGCTACAATTTAAGCCTGTTATGTCCTGTCATATTCACCATGGCCACAAGGAACAGATTATTTCTGGCAGTCCTCTCTGCAGCAACCATTTATGTATTTGAAGGCTGTTATTACATGTCCCCTCCAGGCAGCTCCCCTTTAGATCAGAAAACCCTGATTTTATTTCACCTGGTCTTTTCATTTCAGTCCTCAGGGCTCTGATCACTTTTATTGTTCTCCTATAGATTCTGTTCAGCTGCTCCCTGTGTTTTCGCAGGTGCTTGCCCAGCTGACCTCATGCTCCAGTCCAGAGTAAAAAGAGGAAAAAAAACCCAAACCAACAATAAAACCAATGACATAAGCAGTTAGAGCACAGCATGCAGGTGGTAGGACCGAGTCTTGAATGTTTGGGAGTCAGGCATAACCTTTCTGTCATGTCAATATCGCCCTGTTGACCAGCTTGCCAAAGTTTTATCGGTAACTAGTACCTGATGTGGGGCTGATTCTGACAAAAACCAAACATCTGTGGTTTTGATAATTAATGTATCCAATTAACAAGAATGTCTGCAGAGGGAATGCTGAGCTTCACTTTCACCTGAATGTGCTTCTACAAACTGTCCTGGATTTTACCTCCTTTAACTAACTGTGAACAAGCCTTTTTGCCTTCCAGGAGCAGCTTTAATCTGTTGTAGTGAGAAGCACTCCTACTTTTCCCCCTTACGATCCACTTAAATCCACTTAAATCTCCTTGTATTTTGATTGTGGGGTGTTCAGGTCTTTCATTTCTGTTCTGCCCTGTGTATTCTTGCCTGAGGCCTCTGGGTTGCCAGTGTAATACAAATTGCTGCTCTTAGGTAAAATAAGTGCTTTTGAAAGCAGATCTCTTATGAAAGGAATAATTTATTACCAGCACACGCCGCTTAGGTAGAATGGATGGTGCTTTTGTAGTCTTAACAAACTGAAGAAGGAGGAGTGGAAAAAAAGCAAGGTGTGGGAGAAGGGATCCAAATGGGCAGGGAAGAGGTAGGAATTAAAGGCGTTTTGCTTATATTAGAAGAAAAGGGGCTGATGCTTGCAAGACAAAGACTCCCAATTCTTTAGAAAATATAAGTATGGTTTTGAAATGCTACAGCTGAGGCAATCTAAAGAGCAGCTGCTGCTGAAAAGCGTGTCCCTGCTCTCTTTTATTCTTTGCCAATGCCAAATTCGGCATTTGCATGACCCCAGAATGAATTGGTCTGAGGAATTAAACTGGCAAGAAACTATCAGGAAAAAGAAAGAAATTATGTTGGCTTTGCTGCCCAACACAGTATGTAGTGGGACCAGGTAAACCCCAGAAGTGTCGCGTGGTGGGTGATGAGAGTACAGGGAGGGGAAAGCACTTGCCATTGGATTGACTTGGATGTAGCCTGAAACTGGAGCTGAAGACCTCAGATGATAGATGCAGCTGTGTCAAACAGCTCTTTATGAAGTGCCAAACAAGAACACTCTCCTGCGAGTGGTTAAAATGATTAATATGCAATTGCTCCCCAAGGCTAGGGATGGGAAATAAACCTTTCAGGCAGTCATGAAACTGTACTGGCTTTCTAATTAAGTTACTGTCTGCAGGACAGGGGACATGCTCAGATAATGAATGGGCAGGTGTGCTGCTGCTTGAAGTCTTTCAGCAATTTCCAAGATTCACAGAGACAGGACCAGGCTGCTTCTCAAGTGCTGAAACAATAAATAGTAGGAACAGTCTCCTTACAACCTGATGACATAAGGAAGTGTGCACCTTCTTCAGGTGATACTAACTACTTTCAAGAGCAGAGAACAGTTGTCATTTATTCATGAGCATGTCTTAATTTAAGCAGGGCCATCCTATTGTAAGACAGATGGAGAAAGACCAGGAACATCTGAAGCATGAATTCTTAATTCTCTCTCTGAATTACAAAATGTGCAAACCAAGAATTACATCCTTTGGTATAACACTGAGCATGCCTTTAGCACTTAGACAGGTGTTTAGTCTTCTCTTGATGAGGGTATCCAAAGCTGCCATAGGCATATTTTGATTAGAAGGGGAGGAAATAAAGCCAGTGCTTCTGAAGTCAAAATGAGATTTGAAAGCTGTTTTTTTAGCATTTATTGGCTTTTATTTTTACAGTGTATTCAAATCCCAGAGTCCACTGCAGCAAGAAAGAGCTGCCAGCAAAAACTCCTCAGCAAGTCGTATTGCTTCAGGCTAAGGAGGTGATCGAAGTACAGGTAGGAATTTGAAACACAGCCTCTGAGATGACCTCAGCTTCCAAGCCCGTGGCACCTTGGAGCTGTAGCTGTGTTCTATAGAAAATGGAAATCAGCAGCTAAAAGTTCTGTTCTGCTTTGGTTACTCAGGGCGGGATGTCGGAGCTGAGCGATGAAGCCAGCGAGTCGGAGCTGCTGAGCCGCAGTCTTTCCATGTGGCATGGGGTCGGTCAGATGATCTGTCGGGAAGAGCTGGACGTTCCCCTGGACTTGCATACGGCCTCCTCCATCGGCCAGTATGAAGTGGTGCAGGAGTGTATTCAGCGGTAAGGAGGTGCTGGGGAGGGCACAGGTCCATGGTTACTTACTGCCAGTTCCCTTTTTTTGCTGGTTGCTATCCAGGTCGGTCTAACATTGCAATGGGGGCACATCGCTGGAACTCCCAAAGTGTTCTTAAGTGCAAATTTTCAAGGGAAAAGTCTGCTGATAAGAATTACCTCCTTAGTGATTCGGTGGAAGTTGTTCTCAAGCTGGTAGAAATTCCCACGCAGGCAGGCTTCACTGCTAGATTTTTTTTTCAGCCTGCTTTCAATACAGTGGTGGTAGCAAGAGGCTGCAGGAACCCACTATGATCTACAGCTCCAGGACAGGAGTTCAACTGAATTTTTTTCTGTTATTTAGTGGAGATCTGGATTTAAATAAGAGGAACTGTGGTGGTTGGACTCCGCTGATGTATGCCTCCTACATTGGCCACGACACCGTTGTGCACCTGCTACTGGAAGCGGGAGTGAATGTGAACATCCCCACGCCAGAAGGGCAGACGCCGCTCATGCTGGCCTCCAGCTGTGGAAATGAAAGTGTTGCTTACTTTCTTCTACAGGTGTGTATCCCGTAATAGATAAGTAAAACCACACTACATCGTTTAAATTCTCCACTGGTTGCAACCAAAGTGTGCAATTTACGTTCTGTGGCGAGTTCAGCTTCCTGACAGGGATTTAAACTCTCTTGGTATCACAGTGCAGAGGGGCAGTGGCTAAGAGACCCGGCAGAGGGGGCGCAGTAAAGAGCATTCTCTGTTCTCTTGAAGCAAGGTGCAGAGCTGGAGATGAAGGACATTCATGGTTGGACTGCTTTGTTTCACTGCACCAGCGCTGGACATCAGCAGATGGTCAAGTTCTTACTGGACAATGGGGCAAATGCCAACTGCAAGTAAGGAGGAATCTGTCATTTCATTTCTCAAAAGATCTGTCTCTTTTTTTGGATATGGAAGCAGCTGTTGGCTTATGAATGCATTCGAACACGGACAGGGAGAAGATGCCTGCTTTTGTCTTTCCTCCTGTCCCTTAGGAAGTATGGCACACGCTATTAGCTGATGCAAGGCGAGGTGACCTACAAACAGAACAGTGAAGTCTGCCCATGTTGTCACTGTTTATTTAACTAGAATCAAGAGAAATTAGATTTACTACTTGTTTAATTATGGGCTAAAGTCTGAAAGCAAGCAGGTGCACCGCCTTCTGAACTCAAGCGCGCTTTGCAAGTCTTTCTATTGAATTTTCTGTGTACTTGGAGTTCAGTTTGGTTTTTTTAAGCGTGCAGCGCATTCCTGTGCCTTGGGAACTGCCTGTACATTTATGCATAATGAATTGCCTGAGGTCAACAAGAGGTTCTTGCTTTGTTAGCTCCTGCAAAACTGATTTTGCTACCGAAAGGCAGATCTGCAACTGGAAGAGTAATCTGTTGCAGTGCAGCCAATAGAGTAATGCTTACTGAATCTCCACTGGGAGTTTTACTGAGATAGACCAGAGTGCAGTAGAACAACCAATGCATGGTATGGTTTGTGATCAGTTGAGGGTAGAAGCCAGAGATGTCTTATTAGGGTATGGCAAAGACTGCAGCATATTTCAGCTTTGATTATTCTAGTCCGTATGTGCGTGTTTGTTCTCTCTAGGGAGCCTGTGTATGGATACACGCCGCTGATGGAAGCAGCTGCTTCTGGCCATGAGATAATTGTTCAGTACCTTCTCAATCATGTAAGTGTCTAGACTGTAAAGCTGAAAATTTGTGGTTGCAGCCGTTAGAGAGGAAGACCCACAAGTTTGACACCAGACTTCTTACAGTGTTACGTTTGATCCTTGATGATGGTCACCTCTGCAAGACCCAGACTTCCAGGACTGTTCTCAGAGTATCTGCTTTCTGAAGGCTAGTGCTCTGATTTTACACTGGTCTTGCATGAATAGGAGTGAGGTCTAACTGTCCAGATTTAACTGAATAATGACTGAATTAGAAAACAGCAAATTCAGTAATCTCCATATTGTTTACAGGCTTGCATGCTTGGGCTAGTGGGTGTTTTCCATCTCCAAAAGCTTATGAGCGTGCATGTCTCTTGATGTTAAAGAATTTGTTTTTAATATCCCATTTAACTGGTCCAGCTTAATTCCAGGAGGAGGCAGCAATGCAAAACACTTTTCAGATAAAACAAACTAGTTCCCCATGGCAGTGCACAAGAGCAATACACCTGGGCTGCCTGGCATTCAGGGGTTGGAGAGACTGTGGGTGACTGGGAAGGCAGCAAGGTATTAGTGGAGCTTGAACTGTCTATCAAAGGCGAGCCTGTATTTATGATGGGCTTGGAGGAAGTAAGACAATTCTTCGTCTCCCTTGAATTTTTGTATATAGTGCCCTCTACTATGTGTACTTATTAAACTTTTTTTCTATAGGGAGTGAAGACAGATGTCAGAGATAACACTGGAGCCACAGCACGGACGCTGGCCATGAAGTATGGACATACGAAGATTGTGGGGCTGATAGATTTGCATGCATCCCCAGTGCCCAAGGTCTTTTGCAGGGGTCCAGGTAACAGAGATGGTTTAGCTTGTTCGTTTTAAGATAGAACCTGAAGAGAGGTGCTTGATATTTTGAAAGTATGTTACTATGTGTGGGGGGTGGTACTAGGTGGTCTGTCCTGGAAATTCCACCATTTCTGAGGGTGGAAGAGGCATGGATCCAACAATTTTTTTGTCTACTGGCCCTTTTCTGACCTAGTTTAACTGTTTCACCCTCCCTCTTTTAACATTTCTGTTTTGTTTTGCACTGCATTTATAGAACCAGTAGCAAATAAAGTAGGTAAATGAATTATTGTGCTGCTAATGATCTTTGTTTAAACCACAGGAAAATATGAAGAGCTGAGTTCCTCAGATGAATCGTGTTCTGCTCCCCAGAGACAGAGGCCTGCTCGTAGGACCAAGGGTCCCAGCATCCACGATGGGCCCCAGGCTTTGGCTAAGATAACAGCAGTTGGAATCGGGGGAAAGAAGCAGTCTCGCTATGGTGAGAATAGTTAGAAGCTTAATTGAGAGTCCTTTGAGGTCTCAAACGCTTTGCGGCTATTTCTGCACCAATGTTTTTTTTTCTTTTGATTGGGATTCATGTGTCTTGTACAGAAACAAGGGTAGTGAACACCATCATACAAAGCCCTCCAATCTCTGGTTTAAAAAGAAAACCCCTTGAACTCTCTTGTCAGGGCTGGATATTGATGAGCGGAACTTTTCTGTGGTACAAACACTGCTCTTACCTCAATTACTGTTCCCCTGACCCTTGAGAACAGTCCAGCTTCCCTTGCTGAGGTAGGCTCAAAAGTTTGAGAACCCTTCTCAAGCTGATGACAGAGGAAGCGGTCACACAGGCCAAGAAATCGTTGATCATGAAAATGAACTCGCTGCTCCTAGACCTGTCAGTTTTGTCTTCCCTGATGCTTGAAATACTACTAAAAATGAGGTTATAAAACCCTTGCAAAAGACCAAGAGAAAGATCATCCCATTTCAGACATCAATCCCTGGATGCAGTGGTATGAGGTTTTTTTTCTTGTGCGTGTGTTGATTATCTAACTGTCTAGAATAGCCGAGCATATGGACTTAAAAGCATGGTCAAAGTTCAATTCATTCTCTTCCTACAGAGATATATACTATCCCACAGGCAGTGGCTGTATTGAAATGATACTGTCAGCTTCTGAAACAATAGTGGGATGCTACTGGTGTTTTAACACAGATGCAGAGGGGCTGGCTTTACAGGATGTGCTTGCCTGGGGATGGGACACAGCTGGCACCTTGCTCTCTTAAGCGGATGTTTTTCCCCTTTGATAATTTGGGCATGAAGAGGAGAGGAAATGCTGAAAGCTGCTATTTAAGGTGCATCTCTGCTACGAGGCTATTTCCTCTGACTTTTTCAGTGCAACCATCTAAATCAAGCACAGCATATGCATTTCTCAGTTCCTCTGTGTGCTTTTTAGAATGGAACCTGCTGGTTGAGAAGGCAGTCTCTTCTTTTGATTATTTTCAACTCTCTGAGTGGTTGCTTTTCCTGCTGGAGGCCCCCCCTGGTAACTTGCATCGTAATCTTTATTGGTCCTCTCTTCCTCTTGCACACAGAGCAGGTCCCTCCTCAGGGCTATGTTACATTCAATGATGATGGCAGCTGTGAAGCAGATGATATCCGGAACCGGGATGTTACCTCTCCGATTAATGAGCAGGATGTGGAGAGCAGCAGCAGCAGGGGTAAGTCACGGTCTTGGAAAATAGTCTGGCTTGCAGTGCGTACCTGGAAGTGAGACCAACCCCTTGGCTTGCATGTTTCTTTCCCACTAAGATGTTGAGGATTGGAGTAGCTCTCATCAGGAAAGGCTGAGAGAGCTGAGACAGTTTAGCCTACAGAAGAGAAAGCTCAGTGGGGATCTCATCAATTTGTATAAATAATCTGAAGGGAGGGTGTAAAGAAGATGGAGCAAGGCTGTTTTCAGTGGTGTCCAGTGGCAGGACAAGAGACAGTGAGCACAAACTGAAAGAGAAGGTTCCTTCTAAATGTAAGGAAAAGGTTTTTTGGGGTTATTGGTTTGGTTTTTTGTTTGTGGTTTTTGTTTGGTTGGTTTTTTTTATACTGTGAGGGTGGGGGTTTTGTGTGTTTTTTGTTTTTTTTATACTGTGAGGGTGACTGCACACTGGGGCAGGGTGTTCAGAGGTGGAGTCTCCATCCTTAGAGATGCTCCTGGACAACCTGCTGTAGGTGACCCTGCTTGAGCAGGGGTTTGAACAAGATGACCTCCAGAGGTCCCTTCCAACCTCACCATTCTGTGAAGCAGCACAAAGGAAGGATCTCTGGGCAGTTCCTAAATTAACAAAGGATAATGTGGCTCTCCATTGGCTTGGGGTTCAAGGAGAGGCCTTTCTGAACTGAGTGCAGGCTTAGTAGTAATAACCCATGTTTCCACCCCATAACTGAGAGCCTCACAAAAACACGCACACGCAGCCTTCCTGCTCTCTGTGGTACTAGACAGACTAGGAAAGATTAGTGCCCGGGATCAGAGATGTGATGTTTCTGTCTCGGAATCGTCTAGTCAAGAGTGCTGCATATGAAGCCTTGCTCTGGGTTTCTCCTCCCTTTACACCTCCAGCAACTTTTGCTTGTAATTGCGTAGCAAAAACAGCACTGAGTGTAAGGAAGTTGAACCTCAAACTTTTTTTTTTTCATATTCCTTTCTAGAGGATAATGTTTTCTTCACCAACAACTTAGCAACTGTCAGGAGCAGCAGCAGCAGCAGTGAATGCCTGACCAAAGCCCTGGGGGTCAGCAGTGAAGGCTCCTTGGAAAGCAATGAGGTGAGGCTTTCAATTTTCCTTTGTCTGCCTTTGCCTTGGCCAGTGCTGTCACCCTTCCACAGCCTGCTATGACTCTCCCTCCACAGGAGGTTGGGTGAGGAAAGGTAGCATTACAGGGACAAGAAAACCAATTTCCTTATTTGAAGATTATGGATTGGCTTGTTTGATCTCTGGCTAGTAGCCAACTCTCAGAGCACATTCACTCTAGAACACGTTGTTCATGGCTAGTCAGTAATTTTTAAGTTCTCTCCAGCTTCTGAACTCTTTGCAGACTTCTAGCTAGGTGGTGGTCAAGAAGGGATGTGACTTGCTAGAGCTGGGTCAGTCCTTGAGCTTGACAAGAGAGCGGGCAGTGTAGTAAGATTTAGAGAAGCACAGCAGTGCTGTATTGGCATTTCTGAAGTACGGGAGGGGGAAGAGGTTGGAGGTTACTCAGTGGTTCAAGTCACAGCTTGCATGGTTCAGGAATGGCTCTGGGGCTGATGTACGGAAGGGTGAGAGAGATGAACATGAGGAAAAGTCTTCAGTCTTGAGGAGCTTCTCACAGGTGGAGTCTCAGTGCATTGTATTGGTTCAAGGAGGATTCAGCATTACTCTTTGCTCTGGCATGTTGCTTCCTGAGCTGGGATTGCAAGATCCTGATAACTGTTTTGTGGTACCAAACTGCCATCTTGGGAATGACTTGACTGAGTCCTTCCTAATAAAAGCTTTGTTAGTCTTTGCCTCTGTTTGTGGACCACCTGGATTTAGAGCCTGGGACTCAAAGGAGTCTGTGCTTGTTAGCTGTATTGATCCTGGCATCTTTGCATGATTATCCTTGACCTTTACATTTTGTGGGGTGTTTTTTCTTTCAGGATTCTGACCATGCAAACAGTCCCCCTAGTCGGAAACAAGCCAAGAGCTTTAAGATCAAAAATCGCTACAGCAACAGTGATAGCCAGTGGACCCACTGCCCAGGGAAAGCTGGGGGCACTAGTCAGCACCCGATCCTTCCTGAGCCCCCTGCCTATACAGGGCCCCAGGTAACTATGCACAGAAAGTTGTCTCTGAAGTAATGCAGACCACGTCGCTGCATCAAGCTTGGGAGGCTTTTCCAAGGTTGTGGAAGCTGCTTTTTTGGCCTTCTCAGATAGAAGGGAAGTTGTCACCAGAACACCTTTGATTCCAAACTTCTGCCCGCACTTAAATGCTTATGAAACAGCAATTTCTTGTACAAAGAACTGTCTAAGTGTTGATGTTGCTTGGAGGGGTATGCTAGACCTAGAGGGGGCTAGGGTAGGTGTTGATCTGTCTTTCTTCTCTGCATTTGTTGCAAGAGGCAATGGCTGCAGCAGATAGGCCAGTCTTGTTGTGTTGTGTGACTACAGAGAAGGGCAGGGCAGTTAACCAGGGGAAGTCGTGATTGCTGCTAGAACCCAGGAAGGCATAACAGCAGCATGAGGAAGCAGATGTTTATGATGAAGAGGCATGGCAGTGCTTTTGTTTGTGAAGGTAATAAGTTTATTTTGGATTGGCTGCAGGACCTGGCAACATTCCTCGAGCAGATTGGGTGCCTGAAGTATCTGCAAGTGTTTGAGGAGCAAGATGTTGACCTCCGGATCTTCCTGACCCTCACAGAGAGTGATCTGAAGGAAATAGGCATCACGTGAGTGTCTGTAATGTAGTTCTCATCTTTCTCCTTGCAAATTGTGCACACAGCCTGGTCAGGAAAGTTTAGCTAGCGAGTGCTTTGCTGTTCTGGCTGTCTCCCACACAATTTTGATATCCCCTAGTTCTTGGCTGCAACAGGCTCCTGTTTTTGGAGGTGCCTTGGAGGAACCAGGAGACTGCAGAGGTCCTCATGGCATCCCGTTGGGCCTAGGGACTAGATGGTGCAATGCTTGGTCCCTGACAGTTTGCCATTCTTCCACCAGTCTGTTTGGACCCAAGAGGAAGATGACTTCTGCCATTGCCCGATGGCACAGCAATGCTCGGCCGCCCAGCGATGCCCTGGAGCTGGCCTATGCAGATCGGCTGGAGGCTGAGATGCAGGAATTGGCCATTCAGTTGCACAAGGTAAGAAGTCTGCCCTGAGCTGCTCGATGCCTTGTCACGCTGCACTAAGTGATCGGTAGCCTGTTATTATGTTGTGCCTCTAATGGCCTGGTGTAAAGGAAAAGGCATAACTTTCAGTGGACACACTTGGTGTCAAATAGATCAGATAACACCGTAAGTGCAGCTCATCCAGTCCGCATCGTCTGTGCTCCGTGCTTGTGAAGCCTTTATGTCTCTGTTTCCCATCCACCTGAGAACTAAAAGGGTGAGTGGGAGGAGTTGAATACCTACTCTTTTTCAGCAGTGTCATTTTCATGGTGAAATTGTGCAGCCATTAGTGAACAGATTTCTGTTGATTTGGGAAACTGGCCCTGCTGAGCGTCTTTGCAAACGGAGAGGAAGGGGGAATTTAACTGTAGGGCTGGTCTTGGTGTGGAGAGAAACTGTATTCAGTGTACAAGCCTTATCCAGCTCCCTTTCCCGCTGGGTTGGGTGCACCTTTGCAGGAGTCCTCTGGCTGCCTAAGCCATTAAAATAGCAGGGACTCCAGGGATATGTCAGAGCAGGCAGGTATGGGAGTGAGGTACAGTACTCCCAGCCTAATCCTCTGTTCTGCTCTGCTGTAGAGGTGTGAAGAGGTGGAGGTGATGAAGGGCCAGGTGTGCCAGGAGCAGAAGCTGCGTGCAGTAGCGGAGAGCTGCTTGATGGAGCGGGATGAGACCTGGAATGCTATACAGTGCCAGCTCAGAGAGGCTCAGGCCATCACCAAGGATGCTGGAGTCCTGCTGGATCAGATCAAGTAAGTCATTCCCAGGAAGTGGCACTGAGGCTACTGGGAAACGGGATTCGGGCCATACAGGGATCAGAGGTCATACTGGCAGTCTTATAGGTGATGCTTAGGGTAAGGCAGGAGAGCTCACTGGGCATCTGAACCCATTTGGGATCCTGCCTGACTTTCCCTAGTGGAAAGCCACAGCCACGAAAGCAGATGTGAAGCCTTAATCGGATGCGTGAGCTATAAACAGTCTGACTTTTCAGAGATGCTGAGTGCTCCTGTTTCGGCTGGAAGGTGAAGGCACTCAGCTTCTTCAGAACCAAAAGGCTAAGTGCTTTGTTTGTGCTGACATGAGACCGAGTGACCAGAGTGTAACTTGGTGATGGGGGGAATGCAGAAAAGAGTTTCTGACTTCCAAACCATATCAAAGGACTTGCAGTGTCTTGCCCTGACTAGTGAAGAACGCTTTTCTTGCAACTCTGACACCTAACAGAAAAACCTGCCCTGTTCATTCATACCACTGCCTCTGAGCAGTCTTCCCCCACCTCCTAGTTTATCTTTTGTTGCCTTTGTGGTGCTTTCCTCCCTGCCCCAGTTGGACTCCAGTCCCAGGCCCTGTTCTGTCCAATGCTAGAACAGATGGGTCCTTGAAGTTGGCATTAGTCCTACTGCTGTAGTTCCTGGCCCAACAGTGAATGGGGCCTGCTCATGACCAAGCCAAGGGGAGCTGGGGTTGACTTCCAGAGGGACAGCGGAGCAGCACTCCCAGCTGCGAGGGGCAGAGCGCTTGTCTTTTTCCTCCTGACTGAGGAGCTGGGGCTGTCTGGTAGAAGGACCCTGCCATGCTCTGAGGATGCGCTGTTTGAACTGATGGTGTGATGATGTTAGCCAGGGAACTTCGTGTGCCTCCCTTTAACGTGACTCCTGTCCTGAGGTAGCTTCATTTGCCCATTGGAAACCTTGGATCGGGCTTGATTCTCGTAAACCAGGCACAGCCCCTGGCTTGGGCTTTCTCCTGCTCACCCCGCCCCCTCCTTCTCTTCTCCCCCCGCAGCTCCTCTGTGGACAGGGGCAGAGATTGCTGTGGAGATGGGGCACAGTGGAGAGCGCCCCGAGCTTTGTCTGGGGTACGTCTTCCTCTTCCTGGGAAGGAACAAGGAGCAGTTTGTAACCCAGGGCGTTAGATGCGGTCCCTCGGCACCCCAAGCAGGTACTTGCAGGACGTAGGAGTGCACAGACCGGCATGTTGTTCCAAGAAGTGTCCCTGTGCACTTCTGATGGGCTTTGTCTTGTTTGGCAGATCCTGTCAAGCAGAGCTGTCCTCCCGGCTAACCCAAGAGCAGGCAGTCAGCAGAGTGCTGGACACAAAGGTGCAGCTGGGAACCGGTGAGAGCCGGCGGCCTGGTGAGCGTCCAGGTGAGGAAACGCTTATCAAACGGCACAAATTGGTGCAAGGGGTGGGTAAACAGCAGGACACCCCAGAGCAAGCCACACACTTGTCTTTTCGTTGCTGAAAGGATGAAGTTAGGAGCGATTTGGAAACAGGTGAGCAGCCAAACCCTTAAATTTAATGTAAAAATTTTTGCTCAGGGAAAGCATATAAAGCGCTCGGGGTGTTTGGACTTTAAGTGCAGCAGAATTTCTCAGCAACTTTTGATTCTTGGCAAATGGGAAGTTTTGGGGTCTGGCAGGTGTTTGTGGCTAAAAATACAAAGCTGCAGCAAAG